CTGAACTTGGAATTTGTTTGGCAGAAGGTGTCTACCTTTCACTTCCAAAAGCAGAAGGAAACCTAGCATAGCTGCTACTACCATATAAAAAGTTAGGCCTAAAAATTGCCAGCACTCGGAGTCTTGTTAGTTGAAGCTGGTTGCCAATGTTCCTTTCATAACTTGAAGAGAGGATGCACATATTCATTGCTAAGGCTGGGGAGAGTGCCATTAAGGCAGCTGGCAGGCAGGCTGACATTTTCACAGTCATAGGTCAGATAATTTTCTACATCCAAGAGATTTGACCAAGTGCGCGCACGTGCGCGCACACACACACACACACACACACACACACGCTTACTCTGTTCAGTTGGCTGCATTGAAATGTCTCGTTTTCAGCTTAAAGAAATGATTTCTGTGGAAGCAATCTTTGCCATTACAACAAAATGACCACAAATTGCTTGAATAGCTGTGGGCACTTCAAATACAAAGACACACAAAAAATCATTATCTGAAGTAGAATGAGGATTTTTCACTTGTTCCAGTCAAGTGTGCTTTAAGACATTTGCTCACAGAGAAAGGTGAGCTTGCAGGATACAGAGTCAGTGGCGGAGCTGAGAAGTGAATCCTCTTAACACTCTCAGCAGCAAAATTAAAAAGTCTGGTAGGCATGGAGCTTGGATATCATAAAGTATTTTTTATGGTTTCCAGTAAAACATTCCCATCATAGCCTGAAGTTTTGATTGTGACTTTAGTTTTATACATCAGCCTGTTGCTTTTTCTTTTCTTTTTTTTTTTTTGGTACTGGGGATCGAACTCGGGACCTTGCACTTGCAAGGCAGGCACCGGAACTACTGAGCTAAATCCCCGGCCCCTAGCCTGTTGCTGATAAGCACAAATTTATTATTATTATTATATTTTTTTGGTACTGGGGATTGAACTCGGGACCTTGTACTTGTGAGGCAGGCGGCAGAACCACTGAGCTAAACCCCCAGCACAACAAAGTGTTTAATTGTTTTTCATTTTGTATTGTTTTTGGTACTGGCGTCAAACTCGGGATCTTGCGCTTGCGAGGCAGGCGAGGGAACCACTGAGCTAAATCCCCTGCCCTGATGAGCACAAATTTATAATAGTCCTGGGATCAACATTTGTTTTATTATGACTTTAGTTGTGTCAATCAGCCCGTTGCCAAAAAGCACAAATTTGTATTAGTTCTAGGATCAACATTTTGAGAAGGGATAAAGTAAGGATCATCTGAGGGTTTTTAAAAGAATTTTGGTCTAAAATAACTGGTAGAATAAAAATATATTGTACAAACTAAAACAAGGCAAAAGAGCTGAAATGCAGTGTGTGGATGAAAATAACTAGCAGTTGAAATGAGTTCAAGTGCCAAATATGTAATTATTTTTCCTATTGCCTTCTAGGAGTTCTTTTTATTTTTCAAGGTCTACTTTTTATTCCTTTTGTTTTTTTTCACGTGTGTACATATATACATTCACATGAAGCACTGAATTTAATAAACTAAAAGTTTTGAAATTGCCATTTTTAATCTGCAGACTGACATCTTACACTAGTAGGTAGAAGTGGCTCTTTATTCATTGGTAGGTGGTCTGTCTCATAAATTGAAACATGAAGAAGAGTTTGATTTATCATCATCTCTCCAACTCATCTCCATCCTCTTTGGATGTACCTCATGGTACTTTCTAAACACCTGTCCTCATGTGCCCAGAAATAACTTAACACATGTTCGTCATATTCATAGTAGCCATTTTAGTGTTCCCTGATTTCATGAATGATTTTTGCACATCCTACAGGGGCTTAGAAATTGCTTACACTATGAAGAAGAGTTCTTTGGTGACCTTTGATCAGTATTGGTGCTTTTTTACTCCAGTAACACTGAGCTTCTTGCTGTTCGCTGAACATGCAGGAACACTTCTGGCTCAACCATTTGATCCCCACCATTTGAGGGTTTTAAGCAAATGAGAGTTTTAATCATGATTTCACTAATGTGTTGAATTAATCACTTCGCCTGTTGTGACGACAATAAGCTTCAGCCAAACAAGGACTGAAGCAGCTGGGGGAGTTGCAGTTGTCTTGGCTAGAGATAATGGTGGCTGAGATGCAAAGTGGCTGGACTCAGGATATATTTTGGAGGTGGAGTTAGTAGGATTTGCTTCCACTTTGAATGTGGGCTGAGAGAGAAAGATAATAGCAGGAATGTTTAGCTGAAGTGACTGAAAGAATGAAATTGCCAGGTACTGAAATGAGTAATAAATGTCAAAGGAGGAGCATAATATCAGGAATTTGGTTTTGTTCACGGCCATTGGATAAATTAAATTTGAATTAGGAAAAGCTGTGGGATGGAGCTAGCCCATTTGGTACTCACCAGCATGGAATTGCTATTTCAAGTCATGAGCCTGGAGGAGATCACCTGGAGAGCATAGAAAAGGTCTTGGAATTAAGCCTGGCTGTGCTCCAGCGTTTAGAGGTTTTGGAGAACAAAGAGGTACAAGTGAAGTAGCGAAGACTCTGGGAAGCGGGGTCCTAGAAACCAAGTGAAGTATGTTCAGCAAGGGAGTGAGTGATCAGCTGTGTCCAAATGCCACCGACAGAACACTAAGGTGAAGACTGAGAAATGACCATCGAATTTGGCAATGGAGAGGACATTGATGACTTGTGAGCTGTTGTGGTAGAGTGGTGGGGAGGAAAGGCTGACTAGAGAGAATAAAAGAGGAAATGCAAAATGCAGATTCTGATATAGACTCATGAGTTTTAGACAGGAGATGGTTTTATAAAGTAGGACCAAGAAGTGAGATGGTAGCTGCAAGAGGATGTAAAGTCAAGAAAGACTTTTTTAAAAATGATGTTTGCACACTGATGGGAGTGAGTAAAGAAGGAAGAATTCATTGTATAAGAGAGAGACAAGGGGGACAGTAGGTTGGATCATGTGTTCTTTGATGACTACTCTTTCTCCTAGAGTACCATTCACAGTACCAAAAAAAGACTTTTCTAGAATTTTCTTTTTCATACCCTTGGCTCCTAGCAACCTAGATGCTCCCCATTCTAAGCTCCCACTTAACTTCATACTGTTATTTTATTCTGTTGCCTTTCCACTTATCCTTTCAAAGAATGGCTTCCTTGTACATAATAATAGACTCTTTTAGGTCCAGCTGTGACTCGATATATTAGTTTTGGAGTCCTCTAGAAGCAAATGTAGCATAAAGCCACTCCTTTCTGGAAATCTTGGACTATAACAGAAGGCAAAAATTATACTAGGATCTCACCAACCTTTTCCCACCCAAAATGATAACCTGTTGGGAGATTTTAGGTGGCTCGTACATTGTCCCCTGTGTTGAGTGGTGGGGAGCCTGTGCATACTGACATTTAGTACTAAGAGCAGCTGCTCGTCTCTGACCCATCAGTCCTGTTTGTCACCATTGGCATCCTTGTTGGCACAATGGCTTCTGCTACTCTGTTTGACTTGTTCTGCTTTGATTTTGTCTACTCAGTTCTCATTTTTGCTTTTCTGTTGCAAGGTTATGCTTGTGGTTATAGAGAAATGTTCTGTCCTTAGTCAGAGGTTGATGCAAGTTAAAAGATGTTGTAAGCGTTTAAAAACAAGCAAAACAAAAAAAATCTAGGTTGATGGTAGTTATCACTGTTATCTTCTGAGCTCAAGGTTTATATTTCTGCCTGCATTTTCAAAGTTTTAGGTCAGAGTTTTAAAATTAGGACCAGAACCTTGAACCAGTTGGTAGGGTTTTTGTAGAAAGAAGTGGTGATGGTTGTGGAGTCATCTGTAAGAGGTGTGCATAAGTGCTTGTGTATAGTTCATCCACAGAAATATCTGTAAATTCTTGCTGTTTTTTTTTTTTTAAGATGTACTTTTGGGAGTTTGTGTGGCTCATATTTTCTGTGGGGAAACAGAGAAGATACTGGGAGCTTTTTAGTAGTCACAGAATGGAAAGGACAGAGTTGTATTTTTTAAGGGTAGCTTTTGACTTACCCTGGAGTTCTTTGATCAGATATGTCATAGACAAGTTCACTATGTCAAAAGCCCAAGTCAAGCTGAATGCTTGCAGTGAGACAGGGTAGAAGACCCAGGACCCTACCAGCGTTTGGAGAGGGTCTCTTGGAACTCCTAGGTCTCTTTGTAACCCATGTGGAAAACCCCTTCTCTAGTCCTTGGCCAAGCTAAAAGCAGTGACCAAAAAAGGGTGGTTGCCTGGCCTTTCACATTATAGAAATGGAGGAGTTATCTTAGTCTTTTACATGAGCTTTCTCTTTTAGAAAATAGGAGCTGGTCTGGGGTGTAGCTCAGTGGTAGAATGCTTGCCTAGCATGTGCAAGGCCCTGGGTTCAATCCCCAGCACCCCTCATAAATATAGAACTACTAGGAGGCATTATTTATAATAGTTGAAAGTTTTCAGTTGTCAAACCTGTGTACACTTTTCTATAGAGATTACTTTGTAAAGGGAGTTAAGTGAAAAAATATTTGATGATGATGATGGTAGTAGACTTTTAAGAGATTAGCAACTGAGTTGGGGGTGCTCAATGATATAGTACTTTGCACGAGTGAAAGTTCAACCTTTGTGTTTGCTTCCAGATACACTATAAAGGATAGTGACATATGTTGTGGCTGGGTGAATTATAAACATTAATGAAGTGGTCTGAATGCTTCAGTAAAAACAAATGAATCTAAGAAGTAGTCTGTTACTATTGCTGGGATTCTTTTTTTTATACTTGTAAGAAACAAAAAGTAATACTACTGTATTATAATTTTACTGCCCATTTACAATTACTGCACATTAAAAAATTTCAAATTATCCTTTTCAGTAACTGATAACTTCAGAATTTTTTTTGATCCTCCTCTACTTTTCCAACCTTCTTTTCTTGCTTGATGTTAGGAAACCCAAATTGAAGACGCCTGCATTTTGAACAGGTTGAACTTGTGGCCTTATAATTATGTCACTTCTCAATTTATTTTTTATTTTTATCTTATTATACCTTTCTTTCTACAGACTGGTGAATTTTCAGCTCGTTTCCTTTTGAAGTTGCCAGTGGATTTCAGTAATATTCCCACATATCTTCTCAAGGTAAAAATACATGGTTATTGGTATGAAAATATAAATAAATTTTAAAGTAATTATTTAACTTAGTATTTATGCAACATATTTGTCAGCATTTTGTTTGGATGGTGAATTCTACTGGAAATACTTATTGTGTGAAGATACATTGAGTTTTCTTGTTGCCTAAAAGCTGTAACAGTAACTTTAAAAATTACTTGGAAGAGGGCTGGGGATTTTGCTCAGTGGTTCCACCGCCTGCCTCACAAAGTGCAAGGTCCCGAGTTCGATCCCTGGTACCAAAAAAAAAAAAATTACTTGGAAGTGAGTTTTTTGGCATAAGGTAAAATTAATAGCATAAGCAAGTTAAAACACTGAAGGAAATAGTTTGTATTTAATAATCCTATTCAGATGAAAGACTTTCTTTTTTTTTTGTATGTCCTTTTATTGGTACATTTTAGGTTTGCAGCATAATGACATTCATCATTGGAGGTATGCACCTTTACATACTCTCTTGGTTCTTATTTTTCCCCCTTCCCCTACCCTCCCTTCAACCCCTCCATCCCTCCCTATTTACAAAGACTTTGTTTCCATTTTTTCGTTTTCTCATATTAATTCCAGGACTTTCATAGAAAATGTCAAATACACATTCTGTCTTTAAGTAGGGTTGCATATTAACCAGGCTTGCTAAAGGGCATCTCATTTTCTTCGCCAGTAACTGAACTCTGGTGCTCACAAAATTGGGCTTGCCCCAGACTCAGAATCCAGTTAGATTAGTGTCTGTATAGCATTCCTTAAAAGTGGATGCAGGCAGATTATGAACTGGGGAGCACCTGTTTTGGGGAGAGATCTATAAACGCAGAGTAGTAGGTGACGGGGCTGTGGTTAGTGAGAGCAAAAGAAGCCTAAGCCAGATCCCAGCCTCATACCAGAGGAGGATTCTGGTTGTGATTGAAGATTTGGCGGTTTGCTCACAGCTGTATTTCAATCTCTGTTTTTAAAATTTCAGTCTAATATAAGAAGAATCTATGCCCTCCTAATTTGATGACATTCAGAAAGCTAATGGTATTTATAACTGTCTAGAGAAAAGACCAAATCCTGTTTCTCTGCATATAAAATAAATAAAAAAGTAAGTAGTATTAGATATTAATCTTGCTAGTGATTGGAAATGTGGTTTGGTACAATAAAGACTACAACAATAGACAAAAATTAGGGAACTTTCAAAAATATTTTCCATCTAAGAAAATTATTTTCTTTTTACCTGTGTAAAACATGGGATTTTTATATTTCATTAAACTTGAATTTTAGTTTCTAATCTGCCGATTTTCCATTGTGAACCCACTGGTTGTAAAGTCCAGGTGAGAACGAAGGGCACCAATTTCTCTCAGTTTCTCCACACCCCTGTGGTATAGGAAATGTACATAATAGATCTGTAATTACCGAGCGTAATTAATTTCGTGTCAGCAATAATTTGGCTCATTAATAGCAGGCTGTCTCCTGAGAAGCCCTTATAGCACATTCTCAGTGACTTCTGAATATGTCAGTTGAAACTCTCCTCCAGGTCATTTAAAACCAAATTCAAACAGTGTCTATAAGCACTTCATTCAAACATTGTCTTAATTCACAATTTACAGCTTCTAGCCTCTCTGTTTTGACTTTTTGTGCCTTGTCTGTTTGAGCAGTCTTTCTGTTTGATGCTGATGTTGCCTCTGCCCATGTTCCCAAGTATCAAAGGAAAACAAGTACATGTTGGCTCATAATCTAATTTTTTTCTTTTCAGTATCAAATTCCCATACTTTGTATTTGAAGAATTTTTAACTTTATAGTATGTTCCCACTCTTCTCTTGCCAGTCAGATAAGAGAAAAGTAGAACCCATCTGCCAAAAGTAAATATTTTTTCCTACCCTGAAATATGATGAAGTAAATTTTTTTCCTATGGATGAAATGTCTGAATTGCAACATTAGTATCTTTCTGAATCTTCATTTCCTGCAAAAATAGAAAAAAACCAAGGACAACAAAAGGAGAAACTCAAGGATGACGCAGAGCAACAGCAAAACAAAGTCTACGCATACCAGGAAGAATTACCAGCATACCAGAAATCATACAGAGTACTTGTTGAGGGTTTAAGATCTAAATTCATGAAGTTGTATTATAAAGTTGTATTATAACCTTAGGTCATGGTAATCAGCAGATGCTGCTCTTAATTTTGTTAGAGTGAAAACTGTCTTACGTATATTCCTATCTTTATTTCTGTTCTGAGAATTACTGAACCTAACTATATAATGCTAATAAAACAGATAACCACCCCTTCATCCACCCCCGCTCCCACTCCTGGAAAACTGTATATAGCGAGAGACCTAAAGAAAACGTTCCAATTTGTCCACTTAAAATTTTTATTATCTGAACAAGAAATACTCAGAAACTAAGAATATAGTATTTTTGCTGAGGTTTACTTGTAAAAATGATGTGTGTTTGTATTAGTCTTTTGAAATAAAGAGTCAGTTTTCTACAGAATGTAGTGAAATTAAAACCCTAGAGTTAGGAGTATCATATAGAAATATGTAAGGAAATTCATGGATCCCACTGAACCAGAAGGTTAAGTAGCAGTTATTTCCTTCTGGCTGTAGATATGGCAAACAACCTTACACAAAAATATCATCGACTTTTCTTTGTTGGATAAAAAATGATTATATTGTTTATAGTCTAAACAGTTCTGGAATATCTCTAAACTGTGTACGGTCGAGCCCTCATCCAGGCTAGATCAGGAGCGGGCCTACAACAATTTACTGTGACTTAAGTACTTGGGCTTCTGGTTTGACAGTAAATCTTATTGGCATCATTTTATATGGAATAATGAGCCTATTCATCCTGATGCATACTTGCTGAAATTTAGTCCCCTCATCGAACTAGAATGAACTATGCTGCAAAACTCAAATAGGTCATATATGTCGGGTTATGAGGCAGTCATCCCTCTGAAGCCACTGTGGCTCTGTGATCATTCAGGCACACTCAGTACAAAACACAGGTCACTGTACCAAGTAGAGGAAGAAAGCAGAAATTAAGGTGAGGTTGTCGAGGTGTGCTTAAGAGCCTGGGACAGGCAAAGAGTGGTAGTGAATGTTCACTTGTTACCACATGATGGCCCAAATGGGTCACTGATGTGGAGGATAACATCTGAGGACCCGTGTGTAGGGAGATCATCTGGTCAGTGTAGGAGAAGCTGTCTCAGCCTGATGCTGGTGAAGAAATTGCCTGACAGAGTCAGTCTGCTTGCATTCAAACCTAGGTTAGCACATGCAGACACTAAGGGTCAGGGAGATACTGAAGAAGTGTGCTCTGGCTTGCTGTCATAAGAGTAGCACGTGGTGAGAACTGTAATAAGCTAGCAAGTTATGTGCTTCATTTAGAGGCAGCAGCTGCTATACAGCTACAGAGTTGTTTTCCATGTGAAAGTATGGGCCTAGTGTTGCCAGATATGCAGATGTTATTGTAAGGAACCTAGAAGCTCAAAGTTTTTAATTTTTAAATGTGAAAAATGTCTGCCTTTTAAATGATGGCAATGATAAATATTTTTGAAAACACCGCACTGGCCAAACAGAATACCAATGTATGTTGGCCATGACCTGTGGATTCACTGTGACCCTTTGATCTAAAGCCTAACAGTGTGATAAGGAAATGGGCAGCAGAAGGCTCTTCTTCATGTACAGCGTGGTACTAAGGAGGATTTTACCATGACCTAGTGGATGAAAGAAAGTATCCAGAGCCCCACAATATTCTGTGCTGCTTGAAAACAACTGCCACAGAGTCCCCTGAATGGGCAGCATTTTATTTTGGAGAGTAGTATTATTCAGAGTACCTAAGTATTGATAGCAGCACTGTGCAGGGGTCCTAAATATTGAATTTTGATTAGACAATACCAATGGGAAGGGGGGAGAAATTCAGATGTAAATACTATATAATATAGTTATTATGTCAAAATTAACAAGCATTAGTTGCAAAATAGTTGAGTACTAACTTTAGGCTACATGTACAGTAGATTTTAGAAACTATAAAGATGACTGTGTATTAGAATGGTCATCGTCTGTCTCTCTGCCCCCCACCCCTGAGAGTATTGGGGATTGAACCCTAGACCTTTGCACTGAGCTATATCCCCAGCCCTTTTTTATTATTTCTTTTGAGACAGGGTCTTGCTAAGTTGCTAAACTGCCAAGGCTAAGTTAGAACTTGCAATCCTTCTACCTCAGCCTTCCAGAGTGCTGGCAGTACAACCGTATGCCACTATACCTGGCTCACTAGTAGTTTCTTGTTGGATACTCCTTCCAGAGCCTACTCTTCCATGTGGTGCAATTTTACACTGCTCCCCAACATGCACTTTTAATTGGAAACAGGAAGCTTTTCTCACTATCCTGCCAGTGCTGGTATAGTTCCCACTAACACTACTTTAATTATCTTCTTCCTCCCAGCTCTGAATCCCCTACACTTTTATCTTTTCTTGGAGAATTCACTTAGTTGATGTAAGCATAAAGAGAAACTTAAGTAACTCAAATTACTTTCCCAAGACCATAAGCATTTTTGAAACTGTTGACAGAATATTTAGTCTTAATAGTTGGCAGCAAGGAAAGAGGGGCACCAAGAGGTCAAGTTGAAGAAAAGTGATAATGAAATAAAAAAGAGCCACTTGAAGGGGAAGATTCAACTTAAAATAGCCAAGAAAATCAACTTAAAAGAAGAAAAGATTTATTTTTGGCTTACAGTTTCAGAGGTGTCAGTCCATGGTAGGCTGGCTCTATTGCTTTTAGGTCTGTGGCAAGATAGAAACAATGCATTGAAAGGGCATGGCAGAGGAAAGCTGCTCGCTTTGTGGATGCCCTGGATGCAGAGAGAAGAGGAGAGAGAAAAAAGGAGGATCCGTGGACAAATATATCCTTCAAAGACAAGCCCCCATGACCCTCCTCTTCCAAGTAGGCCCCATCTCTTCAAGTTTCCACCACCTGCCTATGGTGCCACCAGCTGGGATCAACCTTTCAAC